ATCACTATTAGTATTTACTAATATTTAACTTTTAAACTCAATTACTTTTTTTTATAAAATTGAATTTTTTTAAAAAAGAAAATAAATTATTGCTTAATTCAATATATTTATTCTCAATATGGAAATCCTTATAAGCAAAAACTCTATGGAAAAATCTATTAAAAATATTATGAAACAGGTTACTGAAAAATATTTTGAAGATGAAATTTTAGGTGATACAAAAGAAAAAAAAGAAAAAATAATGAAGGAAATAATAAAAGAAAAGATAATAGAAATAAATTCAAAAAAATTTTGGGATGAAAATACATCACCTAATATATGCACATATATACATAATAGAGGAAAGAAAGCAGGTTATATGTGTTGTCGAAAAATTAGAACCAATCTTCTAGATAATAAACCTGATTATTGTTGTTGTACTCATTCAAAAAAACATGTTCGGAAGAAAAAAATTATAAAAATTATAAAAATTATAAAAAATAAGAAAAGAATCAAAAAGAATCAAAAAAAAGTTAAAAAAGTTAAAAAAATTTATTTAGGAAATCCATCAACCCTTTTATTTTCTAATATCTTATAAATTTCTCTCTCTCCTCCCTCCCTTCTAGTCTCGCCTATGGCGAAACAAAAAAACGAAGTTTTTTCAATGAGCGAAGCTCATCTTTCTTTAATATTAATTGTATTGGAAAATACCTACTGGTATTTTTCTAAATAAATTTATTTATTTTTACATTAAATAAAATACATATTTCTATTATTAATTTATTTAGAAAAAATACCAGTAGGTATTTTTTAGGTCACTTCGTTGCACACTCCGTTCCCAGGGTTTGTCTTCGACAAAGACTTGAAGAGAGAAGAAGAAGAGGAGTGATAATATTTTTATAATTAAAGTTTAATAATTTTTTATTTTTATAATCAATATGGGTACAGTATTTGATTTTTTTTATGATATAAATAACACAATAATACATTTATTTTTCTAATATTAAATGATAAAAAAGAAAACATTTAATTTAGATACAAAAAAATAATTATTTTTATTAAAAATAATTATATTTTTGTAAACATTAAGGTAATGAAGTACCCACAAAGATGCATTCTTCTTAATTCTCGATTTGATTAAAGAGAATGCAATCTTTGTTTCAAGTGGCCAGAAACCACAAAAACCTGTATTTGTGCAACTGCTTGTCGCTTTGCGCCATCTTGGTTTCTACGGAAATAGTGCAAGCATTGGGAATGTTGCCAGATACTTTAGGATTGGAGGTACTATGCATAATAAACTTAGTTGTATACATACGTCTTTACACGTGAGACTTATGTAAGGTAATATGTTTTAGAGGGCTCTGTGATCAACTACACAAATAGGTGTATTGAGGCTATCTTGGCTCTTGAAAGTACCTATATCCAATGGCCTAACGATGCAGAAAAGTCCTTGTCCAAAAGTGATATAAGTCGTGGATCCGCTTTTGAAGATTGCATTGGTATCATTGCTGGCACTCTTTTTCCCTTTGCAAGCGAGCCTTGCATTCAGCCGCAAAGCTACTTCTCATATAAAAAGAAGTATGGTATTTCTGGCATTTTGGTATGCAATAGCCAGAAACAAATCATCTATTCATACGTCGGCTGGCCAGGCTCTACCCATGACAGCCGCATCTTCAGCAACAGCGCTCTCCACCATCATCCTGAGCAATACTTTAAGCCTGAAGAGTACCTTCTGGGTGACTCAGGTTTTGAGTGTTTGCTAAACGTTATTATTCCATTTAAAAAGCCACGCAACAGCAGCTTGACAGATGAACAAGAAATGTTCAATTACAAACTTAGCTCGGTAAGAAAGTATACAGTATGGTGTGCTGTAAGGATATAATTGTATTCACTTAAGGTGTCCTACTATTACTTGTCTAGCTGTTAGTTGTTTATTGATTTTGTTATAGTTAATAAGCCTGTCTTAAACGGTATAGCCATTAATGGCCGATACAAGTTAAATCAGAATCATCACTATATTCATCATCACTATATTCATCTTCACTTTCATTTTCATGTGTATATATCTGACTATATTCAATGATTAACTTCTGCATTTGCTCTTGATACATTTGCATAATATCATCCCTATTTGTTTCTTTTGCTTTTATTAAATCAATATAATATCTAAAGTATGAATTGAAAAACCTTTTATACTTATATTTTTCCTTTTCAAGTTTTAAAATAAGTTCATCAATAAAACTACAATCATAAGTATCATTTAATTTATCCATACAGGGCTTACATGCAATCATACACATATATTCACCCTCACCTGATTCACATTCATCGTTATCAGAATCACCCTCTGAGGCATCTGCACCAGAGGTGTTTTCTAACATTGCTTCGGAAATATGAGGATTTGAGGATTGCTGAGAATTTGAATTTTCAGCATATATTTCTTTTGTCTGTGTATTTGAAATATGAGGAATTTCAAATTGCTGAGAATTTGAAATTTTCGGTAACTATTTCTTTTGGAGGTAATGTATCGGGGTTTTCATAGTAATTCTCATATTTATGTGATTTTTCCTTTAGTTTTATATTTTCCTTTAATGTTTTCTCTTTACTTTTTCTAATGGAAATAATATCTCTTTCATTATTCGCTTTACTTAAATTATTTTTAGATGAGTCTTTTTGTTTTTTTGATGCTTTACGTTTTATTAATAATTTATTCTTTTTAATATTATAATTTATATCATATTTGTCATAAATTGTTTCTTCAGCAAATTCTTTAATGTTTATACTATTATTATTTAAAAATATACTTAATTTATTAGTATCAAGAACGATTTTGTCATTGTTGAATGTGATTGTGTTGTTCATGTTTAATATTATGAAGTGTTATTTTTATATAATAAAAAAAATTAATTTTTATTTTTTTAAAATTTTTAAATATATACATGCTAAGACATACATAATTTAATTTTATGAAAATTATTTTGGTTACACCAACTTATTGTGGCTATTCATCCAACTAGTACTAATAAATCAGAGCATAATCATTATAACCTCAACCGGTCCCTAACATTGCATAACATCAAAGGTACGAATTCGGATTGAACATACAATTAGAATGCTGAAGATGCGCTTCCAAAGCCTTCAGGAACTGCCGCTGCACTTGATAGATGCAAAACCCTTATGTCCACCCCATTTTAACAGAGGGGAGTCCCCCCCCCAAAACCGAAAATTTTAAACTCCAATTTCAGAGTCACGGCGTGTGGTGCGTCAGTGCTGTGAGCAGCGCCATTTATTCACAAACCGCAAAAAAAAAGGAAGTACTGGTCATTAACAATCAATACACAATCACTAAGAAAAGATATACACGGTCATTGAAGATAAGTGCTTGGAGCCAAGTTAGAAATGCCATTGAATAGAATGGAGAACAATTTGACAGCAGACACTTGAAAAAAAAACAAAGACGAAGGGAAAAGACAACAACAAAGTACTGGCGGGACAAAGCACGGATCCTTTTACAAACACACTGACGATTCTACTGCAAAGATCTCAACACAAGATGCAGTATTGGAATGGCCATTTGAAGCAGGGGACGATCCAAGGGTTAAAGAGAAGAAAAGGGGGACAAAAAGTTCAAAGCTATATACTATGAAGGAGCTTTGCTTAACCACCGGTCTCTTGAGATCTCGCTCTTAGGCATCGTGCATTTTGACGTAGGACATTGGCATTTCGACACACGGTTACAATTCACGATGGAATGAACGATTATTGAACGATGAAGGCCAGCTAATATTGTACCTGTGGTTCTTAACGGGTATGCTTTTTTTTTGCTATAGTGCATTCGTGCTATATTCTCAACGATGTGCTAATATATATATAGGCAGGATCAGTCAAAGGTATTATGTTGTTGGCTCTTTCAGCCATGCGTTGTAAAGGAGTTCGTGTTCAAGAAAAGAGGGACGTTTTAGGTAAAGCATAGAAAACATGATATGTAAGCAAGCGTCGAATATGATTGGCAATATACTAATTCCCTCTATTCTCTCTTAAAACCAAAGATACACGTACCTGTCAATACATCATAGGGACCAAAACATGTGAGTATTACATATCATATATGTCTGTAAAGAAGAAACAAGAGTGGAAGAAAGTAAAACAAGGGCTAATATATAAGTATAAAGTCTATAGAGAAAGGGATACAATAAAGGACAAAAAAAAAACAAGTTCGGTTATGCATTTTGATGGCGGAAACGGGAGTTTTGGGGAACAACGGCAATGTCAGACAACTCATTGCTAATGCCTTGTGCTTCTTCGGTGAGCTTTTGCAGACGATCGGTCAGCAAGCTCAATTGTTCGTGGTTGCGTGCTTGAACCATTCTGCTTTCAAACTTGCGTTTTAAGGCAGTAATTGTTGCTGTATGCTGTTGGATTGCTTTAGCAAAACTATCTGTTGGTGATAGTTCTTGCTCCATTTCGGATTGGACATCCTGCTGTTCATTTTGCTGTTGCTGAAGGCTTGGATCAGTTGATGTGCTGGTGGCAGCAGTTTGCAATGCAGTATGCCATGCTTCCAATGATGGGCGTAAACCTATGTCGGACACGTTTAAGCAGGGAAAAGTGAAATGACAGTGACCAAACAATGACCAAAACTTTATTTGGTCAATGACCAGATTTTTCCCAAAAGGAACAGTGGTGGGGGGAGCATTTGCAAGAATGGGGGGAAGGCGATGACCAGTAGTGACCGAAAGGGAGAGGCGATGACCAGAGGCGATGACCAGCGGAGAAAAAAAAAGGGGAGGCGATGACCAGGGGCGATGACCAGCGGTGACAGAAAGGGGAAGGCGATGACCAGAGGCGATGACCAGCGGAGTAAAAAAGGGAAGGCAATGACCAGAGGCGATGACCAAAAATTTCCAAAAGCGTGTACAATGACCAGAGGCGATGACCAGCGATGACCAGAATTTTCTAAAAAGGGATTAGCAAAGAAGTATCGATGACAAGCTCAGATGGAAAAAAAACGATAGCAAGCAGGAGGCAGAAGGTACATGGGAAAACGGCAAGGCAAGGCGAAACGGGGATAGCATCTTCGGTCATGAGCGCCGTGTTTGGCAAAGCCCGCTCCACAAAAAAATTTTTTTTACGAAAGGCAGCTTCTGCATCTCTTTCGCTCCTTCACTTCTTTTTCCTCTACTTGTTTTTTTTATTACGTACTGCTCGCCGCCATTGCAACACTCGACCTGCTCAATTGCCAACGCACACACGCTCCATTGAATTCAGCTTTGCCGCATCTCACGTTCCTTTCAGTCATCACTCGAGCAACACTTGTCCTATACGCTTTCTTTATTCTCAACACTCGAATATTACGCATCTCGCACTTTTTTTTTCAACACCTTTGAACGGCCCTCAAATGACTTGCACCTCTGACAACGGCCTGGTCTCTGTCCTTCATTTTGCTATGATCTTATGATCCCAGGACCAAGCTCTTTATTTCTGTGTTGCTAACGTCAACTCTGTCCGGCGTCGTTTTCTTCTTTGCTTGGCCCTCATCAGGTACTTGAACATTTTCTACAAAATTCAGCACTGGAATGGCTATTGTATTTTACGTATATGATACTAAAGAGCACATAGTCTTTGTCTCAGTGGATTCTTTGTTCCTACTGTGGATGGACTCGGCCACTTTTTTATTGTGTTTTCCTTTGTAGTAACAACTGCCGCAGCATTGTTATTGACGAGAGCAGCAACATACATCAGCAGCAACAGCAGCACTCTAGCAACAAACTTTACAACAAACGGACGCAACATCTCTGCCATTAAAACTATTGGAAAAGCCAATTGCCAGTTGATGACCTGCGAGTATCTCGACATGACAGCAACACAGGCACAGCAAAACCTACAGCAGTCTGCACCGTAACGGCCGGCTTTCTTCTTTTGACCGTAAGTGTCTATTCTTTTTTATCAGGCAAACTGGCAAAAAAAAGCAGCTATTCGCACACGGCTATATATCACCATTGAGTACTCCAATTAACGTTCCGTTTACTGTGACAGAAAAAAAATAAGGACGGGCTGACAAACGCGACGATACGGGTCCGGTGTCTCTAGAAACTCTTATCCACGAGCACGAGCAGCAATGGTACACGTGTATTATATAGTGGATCATCTATATACACCAAATTCAGCGATTCACACACGACGATATCTCACCATCGAATAATATAAATAACGATTGGTTTACAGCGGCTGGATAAGGACGCGCGGACGAACGCGACGATGGCAGTTTGGTGTTTCTAGCACGTCATGTCAACGAGCAACAGAGGTGAAAGGAGTGTGCGGATTATTTTTAGAGCAAGAGCGGCTTCAAGCAAATGAGTACTAGTACAAGGATCCGGGCATGGCGGTATCTCATTATCACACAGGTGAGGAAGAGAAGGATACCAAGGATATAAAGATAGCAAAGCTGGTTCCTTTTTTTATTGCGGTGTGGAAGTGGTGGTTATCTTCAGGTAAGGAAACAATAGCATTTTTGACTATATAGTATTAACATGCTTTAATAAACTGGTATTTCATGAATTGAGATTCTGTTGTCGTTTGATATGCAAAAACAGCTCCATATGCTTCAAGCTTGAAAATACATTAGTAAATGTGGTATCTGCGGTTCTGTTGCATGTTAGTATATGAAATCCAATGAGTGGAAGTTGATGAGTGAAATATCTGGTGTTGCTATAATGATGAAGGAGATACTATAGAATAAAAATGACCGGTCTGTGTATTTCCTGAGTAAGACACTGCATTTCCCCAGTTGAGAGTGAAATCATTGAAAAGAGAACATCAGCAACAAGTTGTATCGAATACGTCGTCGTTAGAGCTTGTAGTTGTGGAGTTCAGATGCTAGTGAAAAAAAAAACAGGAACAGCAGCATTTTTATACAGGCTTCTTGCTTATACAGACACAAATGCAATGCTTATGTTCACGCAATCCAACAGATCTTACTGCTGCATTGGCCAGATGTCCGGCAGCTATGTTACCCAAGAACATAGGACATCGTGGGGCATTAAGGCACTCAATAGGTTGAAAAGAAGGGTATTAAGCGCAACGGGTTTAGGGGCCTGGCAGCGAACGCCAGTGAGCGAGCAGGTTTAGTCGAACGCGCAAGTCTTGGTGCGGGTTTACTAAGGTTCCGGGTTTAGAGTTTCCAATTGATGAGCTTGGATGTATATGGGACTCTCTTCTTCTTCTCCACCACCGCTTATTTTGGATTGTTTTATTCGTTGGCTATTTTATATACTTCTTGGATGCTGTATGTATTTGTACGTGTATTTGAGAGATAATTAACGTATATCGGACACGATTTAGCAGAGGAAAGTGAAATGACGGTGACCAATATTTTGTTGTAAAAGAAGTGTTGATGAGAACCTCAGACAAAAAACGAACGATGGCAAAGGAAGGGCAGGAGGAACGTAAGGAAATATGAGAAGGAGTAAGCATCCATGGTCGTGAGTGCCGTGTTTAGCACTCCACAAAGAAATTTTTATTACAAAAGGACACTTCTGCATCTCTTCCGCTATTTCATTTCTTTCTCCTCTGCTTGTTTTTTTTTTAATTACTAGCTTACTACTAGCCACGATTCCAACACTCGAACTGCTTCAATGCCATCTCGTACACGCTCCGTCAGATTCCAGCTTTTCCGAATCTTGCAACCTTTTGAACACCACTCGAGCAACACTCGAAAAATTACTTTTTCTTTCAACGTCAATGAATGCCCCTCGATTGAAACGGATCCCTGTCAAGTACATGGTTTACGAGCACCAGCAGCAACGGTACACGTGCATTATTATACATTGGATCATATATATACAGCAAAATTAGTTAAAAGACAGCGTTCTGCACGACGATATCTCGCCATCAAGTAATCTACATAACGACCTGCGTATCATGGAAACATAAGGACGCGCGGACGAACGCGACGATGGTAGTATGGTGTTTGTAGCATGTGATGTCAACGAGCACAACAGCAGTGAGAAAGAGCGTGTGGATTATTTTTAGATCAAGAGTAACTTCAAGCAAATGAGTATCATTAAAAGGATCCAGGCATGGTGGTATCTTCTATTACACAGGTGAGGAAGTGAAGGATACCGCGGATATAAAGATAGCAAAGCTGGTTTCTTTCTTCGATAGCGGTGTGGAAGTGGCGGTTATCTTGAGGTAAGGAAGCAATAGCATTTTTTGAGTGTATGGTATTGGCATGCTACTGTAATAAACTGCTACTGTATGAAGTGAGATTCTGTTGTCGTTTTAAAATAAAAGCAGCTCCATATGCTATAAGATTAAAAAGTCGTTAATGAATGTGGCATCTGCGGTTCTGATGCATGTTCATATATGAATATTCAATCAGTGGAATTTGCTGGTAGTATACTCACGGTCTATAAAGCTTTACTGCCATAATGTGCCTTTGAGGACTCAATAATGACGATGTCCTTGAAGTTTGTATTCAAGTAGCGATGGATGAATCCGGCTTGACCGCGGAATCTGGCCATTGAACGGCTACAATAGATGACAGCTGGATAAATAGTGCTCCCGGTCTATCCATGACATTCAATTGGTCAAATAGTCCGTAACGTACGGACATTTTAGCAGCGGTAAGCCTATGTCATGACCAGAGACAGTGACCAGCGACCATGAGAAATTTCAATAGAATACACGATGACCAGGGGCGATGACCAGTGCGGAAAAATAGGAGAGGCGATGATAAGAGCAATGACCAAAAATTTCCAAAACAGTACACGATGACCAGAGGCGATGACCAGCGGAGACAAAAAAAGGAAGGGCAATGACCAGCGATGACCAGGGGCGATGACCAAAAATTCCCAAAAGGGTGCACAGTGACCAGGGGCGATGACCAGAGGCGATGACCAAAATTATCTAAAAAGGGACTAGCAAAGAAGCGTTGATGACAAGCTCAAATGAAAAACGAACGATGACAAGGAGAGGGCAGGAGGAACATGGAAAAACGACAAGGCAAGGCGAAAAGGGGATAGCATCAGTGACCGATAAGCACCGTATTTGGCAAAGCCCTCTTTTTTCCGAAGGTACTGCTCTCCCCAGAGAAATTTTTTCTTACGAAAAGATGGCTTCTACATCTCTTTCGCTCCTCCACTTCTTTTTCTTTTAGCTTGCTTTTTTTTACTTACTGCTCACTGCCATTACAACACTCGACTTGCTTCGTTACTGTCTTACACACGCTCCTTCTTAATCGAGCTTTGCCGCGTCTTGCAACCTTTTAAACAACACTCGAACAACACTCGAATATTGCGCATCTCGCACAACAACCTTGGCCGCCCCTCGATTGAGACGCATCTCTTACAACGACTTGGTCTCTGCCCTCCATTTGATGTGCTGCTCTTTCCTAGCAGCAATCGAACCATGCTAGGTCCAAATTCTCTGTTTTTATGTCGTTACTGTCGACTCTGTTTGGCATCTCTCTTGCTTTGCTCCCACGAGGTACAGTACTTGGACATTCGATACACGTTTCAGAAATGAGGGTGGCTATTATACTTTATATATACGTTACTAAACAGCACATTTTTCTTTTGTCGTAGTATTGCCGCTCCCAGCTATAGCTGTTGTTTTGCTCGCAGAAATGTAAGTCATGCTACTATTACTTTTTGTATATGATGCAGCTTCGGAATTGTTTCTAAAAAACATGATTGAACTTTTACTAGTATAGACCATTGTACAAGCTCGCGATCCAACGGACTGGCGTCATGCTGTTTTGCACTAGGGGTAGGTTGACTGTGTTTGATGGGTTAATACGGTTGTTTGTAGCACTGTCTGTCCATTGTCTATCTGTGTCAAGATGCTTCTGGTTTTGGAGAAGATACTCTTTTCACTTGAGCTTGTCCCGTTCTTGACATGAAGAGATAGGATCCTTTATACATCACAAGGTATGTGCGGCTCAAGTATGCGGATACCGTATTATCATGCAAGGATGGCTGTTGGTGGTGATGGCTCAGATATGTGGTGGTTGCGTGCGACATACCCATGGATAAGTGGATGTGGTGGCCATAGTAGAGACGTCATTATAATTTGCTTTTTCAATAAAGATCAATGATTCAATACCTAAATTTTTTCTGATCTGCTTGATGGTTGTGCAAAAGAATGTGCTTTAAGAGAAACAGTGGATCTCACCCCATGGTTTTCATTTTGCAAGAGAAATGTGAGTGTGCGGTAATAAAAGATTCGACTACTGCCCTATCCGTTGAATAAGTTTGAGACAATTGAGTCATCGTCCGAGACTTGCGACTTTCTCGAGCAAGTTCCTTCAGTTTACGTTTTATTTTGCTCTTTGGGACGCACACTTGCTGAAGGTCAATGCTTTCAACTAAAGCTTGAGTTGTTCGTCAAGTATTGATGCATATGCTTCACAGCTATAGCACTGTAACAGGTAACGATGTGTACATTGCTTGTGCTTTCGCAAGGGTATTTCGTTGCTTGACAAAGTACAGCCTTGTTTGCAGTCATCACACTGAGAAGGTTGCTTTGCTGCAGCAAAAGTAGACAGTTCAAGCTCTTTGTTTTCTTTGTTGTCCGTCGTGTTACTTGTATCGTTTACAAAGTACGTTTTTGGAAGGACGCTTTTTTAAAATAAGGTTTCCGATGAGCGATGACCAGATTTATACAAAAAAGGTTGGCAGGTATCAGCTTTGTGCAATAGAATAATTCCATGGATTGAGACAAAGAGCGCAAGTTCAGTAGCAGATATAAATACTAAAAGTTATAGTGATCCAAGAAGCCCCTGTGCTTTCCAAGGATGGTGTACACTAATGGTTTCGTTTTTGCTTCTGATATGCAGTACGATCAAGTTGGTACAATGCATGACCCTGTCTGAATACGATGTCTGACACCTGGCTGCCATGCAATGCTATCGTCAAAGGACGCTATGAGCGATCACTGCAGCGCGTTTCACCCATACCAGATTGATGCAGTAAATGGTAATTATTATATTCGTATAATACATTTTGCTGGTTGGGAGCATGCAGGATTAATGTTGTCGGCGTTTTTAGAATGTAAGGTAGTCAAGCAAAGTGAAAATAGTTATCCGTACGAGTGTAAGCGTTGCCGTGGACAATATTCGTCGGCTCGAGAAGTGTTGATACATATTACACGATGCAGTGTTGCAGGTATTAAAAGTTGGATTGGCGGTGCATGGGAGGTCTTCAATTTTTGTTATTGTCCTTTGAAATTAACGGATTATATAGGCGCGTACTACAGCAAGGAGCTTTTGGTTGAAAATATCCAAAGCCAACTTTTTGACACACCCACTTTCCGTCATCCAATGGAGGAGATGAGGAAGACGCGCCTTGTTTCTCCTCGTGTCGCTGGTCGCAAAGCTCTTGGCCTATCTTTTGTGCTATATTGGGATGCATTTTTGGATCATCTTTACATGGAACGAGTTGACTCCGAAACCCAAGAACGCTTCCTTCAAACTTTTGGGCCACAGCGCTTCTTACTGACCAGAGACCTTGTGCCTCGAATGGACTGCATATCTATCGCAAGCCTAGTTCAATGCGACACCGGCACTGTTTTTGAACCGTTTAGGAAAATTTGGGGTGCGACGAGAAATGTGCTTATTACCGAGATGCAACATATAGAAAGCGTAGACGCAAGGATACTTGGTGTTATTCGCCAAACAGTGTGAGTCTGTGTGCTGGTTTCTTTTCCTACGAATTGTTTTTAATCGACTTGTAACTTTCTAGAGCAGATAGACGTTATACATCGAGTATTCCGTTTGAAGGATTATCGTCGGAGCAAGATGTGTATCGACACTGCTCAGTAATGGCATCATTCTTGCAATCATTCTATCGCTTGATTACCCATGCAGGACAGTATCATCCAAGTCTTACGAACGAGCTTCCAACAACCGTCCATATTTTTATACCAGAGTTTATTGCGGCTGTCCATGGAAGGTCTATGCGGAACTTATGCACTGTTATTCGAATTATCCTGTGGACTTTGGTTCAAGAATCCGATTCACGTCCAAATCCCTTTTGGTCAGCGTTGTATAGGCATTATGTTTTTATGTCAGTTGAGCAGGATCGCCGCTTTTCTGAAAAACGACAACTCTATGAAAATGTTTCCATTCTCATCTACTGGTGTCGGTTGCTGACTTGTGCAAAAATCCGTGCGCTCCAGTCAGCCAGTGCTGTGGTAGATTTTAAACGGTAATATCTAGAAATGAATCTGACTAAATATAAGCTGATAATATCATTATAAAACATCCATTATAGATATACTGAATCCGTTACTGGTGAAGCACCAACGGTTACAAGATCCTTTTTGCAGCAGTATAGTGTACTTCGAAGATCATTGCTCACATAGACAATGCTGTTGGTTAACTGCGTTCAGGCACCAAGCTTCTAAAGTGTAGTAACTGGCAAAAGTTAAAGGCTTATTTCAAGTAGCAAACAATATGACGCAAACCTTCATTGTAAATCATATGAACTCTATTCACATCCACACTGACAGAAAGCTGTACTTGCACGCCCGTCCAATTCTTGCTCCTCTTGTTTTTTTTAATACAATTTGGAAAAAAGGCACAAAGATTTGTTAAGCTATCTTTGCACAGGCTGTACTGTGGGGGGTTGGCATACTAATGTGTTTACCGCAATATAAAAGATGTGACACATTGTTTCTTCTGTATCGCGCTATCTGTATGCGCATTGGTTATATTATCCCAGCAATAATTTCCTTCCCTGTAAAAAAAGCTGTTGGAATAAGGGCGCATCCGTGTACTACACAATGAGTGTTGTAAAAGGCCTGCATCAGGTTGCTGCATCCTTTGTGGAGAAAAGATGATCTTAAATATGAGATTATCGGTCGCTTCCTACAATATGGCGCAACTGCATCTGAGCAACGATGTTTCCAATGCTGAGCAACGTGGTCACTGTTGGTAAAAGAAGAGGGCTGGGAAAAAAAGGTATTACGAGTGACTTTACTGTGGTTTAAAATTGCGTGCAAAATAAGCTCTTTTCCCCACTACACAAAACTATTTCTGTACAGGCTTTAGCATGTTTACCAGACATTGGCAAGTAATAATTCCGTTCATTTTGTTGTTCAAATAAAAGCGATTAGAGCACTGTGCATGAACATTGGCTGTCGCGTTTGTGACTTTATTACCAGCAACATATTCTATAGCTGTTTTTCAAGTAGATGGGCCAAGAATATATTTATTGCTCCTTCAACTTTGCACATACTTTCTATATTCTCCAAGGAACGTCAAATAGACATCCGTTCCGTTGTTCCGCACTTTAAATGATTTTCGACTGCTGCTCGGGGCCGCCTGTAGCCACGTTGCAAAATCTACGTCGTCTTTGAACAAGGTTCCATATTCAGCGTGAAGGTCTCTGCCCCTATACCTGTACATCGCCCAACAGAAAGGCTGTATTTGATCCCTCATTCCCTCAGGGCACATTGTTCCACGGTCTGGATGCAGTAACGGATCGCCTTGCGGAAGCCAGCAAAAAAAGCAAGTTTCTTTCGGCAGGTTTCTCAACTTTTTTGCAGGACAGTTGGTCGTGTAATGTGTGGTGCTGAGGCACTTGTGGCACAGCCCTTTCTTGTCCGGTGTAGAACAGTGATCCTTGCTATTTTTGTCGATTGCCACATGGTCCTTGACCAATTCATTCATGCAGCAACGTTTGAACGTTTCCAACAAGTCCTTGAAATGCGCCTTGTCGTCTTTAGCTGCTCGCACCTCAGCGGTTGCTACCAGCGAGTCGATCTCCATCTGCTGACGAGAAGCCGACTGGCCAAGGGATTGTTCGATGTTGTGTCGGGCGGATACTATGGAGCTTGGACTTGGATGGACTGAAGGACTCGTGCTAGGAACAGGGGAAAACTGTGAACGCATGTTTTAATGGTTAATGATTCGTATGCATAGTATTGATCGGTGTTGACGTGTAGGATTATTACCATTGCTTTTGTTGCGCCCAAGCTGTTGTTGGCCCTCAGGTGTAGAGATTGCAACGTGTTTTCTTGTGCCATTATCTGTGTGAGGTTTGGGATCGACGCCATAAAGGCTCCTTGCGTGCCATGTGCTAGAGAGTTGGTGCTTGCATCCATTGAAATTACCGATGGAGTTTTTGGTTGTGCGCTTGAAGCCATGCCATAGCTTGGAGGTAGCAAACTTGACATTTGCCTATTGATGCTATAGTCCGTACTTTGTCTGCGTAGCTGAAACTCTCGGCTCTAACAATAAATATATAACATTAGGATAAACTATTACTATGCAAAAGTGACAATAAATGGATATTGCAATGATGATAAATACATACTTGCGCTTGTGGCATTCCTTTTTCACAGTAGTAGCAGAGCTTCACATGGCCACCGTATTCGGTACACGTTTTCGCCTCAATGTCGACCAAAGTGTGTATCTGTTTCCGTATGCAGCCAGGACGAGTGACCAGGTCACAAAAGTACATGCGCTTGGTAAGATAGTCCCGATGATTCTTATCGTCCGTGGATTCTATGAGCTTCTTTATCTTTCCAAGGACTTGTCCTCGATCGCCAAACGTGTTGACCAGTAGACACTCTGCTGGCTTGCCGTCCCTGCCAGCTCGTCCTGTTTCCTGAATGTAGTCGAGTGGGCTTTGAGAGAATTGGGCATGGATCACCAGACGAACTTCACCATAATCGACGCCCAGGCCACACGCACTTGTACCACAGAGCACCCGGCAAGTACCACTACGCCAATTTTCCAAAGCCTCGTGCTTTGTCGCGCTATCCAAAGTGCCATAGAGAGGGAGCACCAGATTGGAGTTCCAAGCAAGCCTTGCCCTCTTGTTCTGATGCTTGTAGGTCGTATATACCGTGGAGCTTGCATCACCACATCCCTCCTGTAGTAGCTCCTCGTTCAGTGCTTGATTTAAATCTTGCGCCAGCTCTTTGACGTTGTTCACTTCAGCAGAGTATACAATGGCACGACCGCCCCCTGTGAGTTCGTCTGTTATAGCTTGCTTTAACCGGCTGACAATGTAAGCCTTGACATCCTTAAAGTTGCTGCCTTTGTTCTTGATAGTGTGAACCACATAGCGCAGGTTTGGTCGTACAGTCAAGGAGCGGAACACTTGAAATTCTGTTTTAAAGAGGACAGACAGATCGCTTTCCCATGGCGGAGGCAGTGTAGCAGACAAAAACACCATAGGCACCGGTACCGTTCGAAGCTGTGCTAGTTCACCCATGGTAGGCCGAAACGAGCTCCACGTAATCACCAAATGGGCCTCATCGATTACAATTCTGCTGATACGGCCTTGTGCACTCATTGTGTGTAGCATGCTGACGAATTTTTGCTCCTTTGCCTTTTCTGGTGTAACGAGGATGATTTTCACCGAAAGCATCATGCCATGGTCGAGAGTGCCATCATACGTACAGTAATCGATCCCTGAATCCACCAAACGGCGCGCCATGTCTCCCAGTAGCGTTACGAGTGGGACCACCACGATTGTTGTTTTATCCTTCTCGATCAAACTAGGCGCCATAAATACTGCGGATTTGCCACCGCCGGTTGGCAGCACTACAAGTATATTTTTCTTTCGTTCGATTGCTGCGATTGTTGCTTCTTGCTGAATCTTGGACTGGAAAGTCGCAGAGGGTTCCTGCAGCAGTAGCCGTAATCCTCGTAGAGCCTTTGCTTCACTTGACATATTGGTCACATCAGGAGCACTGCCTTGACAAGCGGCAAGTGAGCGATTCGCTCCTTCTTTGATGATTGGAATTGCTGGTCCTCCGTTCACCATTGCATTCCGTGCTAAATGTTACAACTGGTTAAAGTCTGACTCTATCGCCAAAAGTGACGCATCGCAAAAAACAACAACATTTACCTCGACGGTGCATGTCCTCTAAAATCATATTCCTCATCAAAGCATGATTCCGTGCTTCGATATATGCTGCATTTTCCTCGATAAGCTTGTTGACGTTTTTGATTTCTCTTTTGCGACGCTCCAACAACGGGTCGCCAGATGTATTGCTAATTTGTTTTTTCTCGATCCCTATGTTGTTATATAGCCAAAAAAAGTTATAGTTTATCAGTCTAGTCCTCACAACTTTTTACACATCATTTTTTCTTTAAAAGATTTTTACCCAAAAGAGTGTGCCATCTTCTGCTCATGTCAAAGTACTTTTGCGCTGTGATTGGATCCAAAAAGCGACTGTCGATGTTGCTTCTAGCATACTCCAAACCGGCTGTCGCTGTTGAGTGACCGGCTTGTAGATCGAGCTCCTCTGGCCAGTCTTCAAGATCCTCCTCGTCAACGTGCTGTAGAGTCTTCTTTGCGCCAATCAGCTGACGTGCGAACGCGATTGACACATGGCGATGGTCGGAAAAAGATAACGGTGGATCCATCTTTTTGGCATATATCCATGCGAAAATCCGACGAACCTTCTTTCCAGTCATGGCAGTACCATTCTCGACAAATAGCCGCTCCATGCAAGTAAGACGCGCTTCTGGACCATAAAGATGACCAGTAAAAATACTGAAAATTTAAAGGTGGGATTAGCTTTTGCTTCATCAAGACCACAACAAACCAATCACGATACAAGATATAATAAATACTACTTACCATTCAAGTGGGCGAAAATATGCCAAATACCCTGTGAGCAAAACTGCAAGTTTGTGCGGTAGATACCTGGCAATATACTTGTCAGAGCATGTCAGCTCTCGGCTCTTGTTGTACCGAGTGATGACCATGATGGTATTATAAGCGACACCCCAAAAGAGGGACCGGTCGCCATATTGTGTGTTGGTTATGCATAGCTGAGCCAACTCTTCGCCTCGACAAGGCTGACCATAGCTCAAATGCATTGCGACAATCAATAGCTTTTGAATGTAGACACATTTTTCCAACCAAGCAAAGATTGCTGCCTTGTTCCATAAGATTGTTCCAGCTCGATCGATGGCCTCTACATATTGGCTCCTCCAATTTCCATTCCTCAAAAGTGCAATGACGAGAGCATATCGGACACTACCAAATTGGTTACGACCGTCCATGATGTACGAGTAGCCGACGTCTGCAAGACCCATGTTGTCACATATGTTGTTGGTGTCTCCTTGGCAAAGTCCCAGTACCAGATCCTTGACATTGTGCATGCCGAAGGAGAAATCTGCCGAGTTCAAGACAGCCTCGATTTCGTTCATGCAAAGCTCGACACAAATCCGGAAATGATTGATAGATATCTTGTTGCTTGTGTTGGCCACAACGAGCTCGCGATAGTTGGTGTCTGGGACCCACAGGATACGAGGAAGTCGAGGCTCGTCACCAACAGCTGTTGAAGCAACCCGCATCACCTCGCGCAATGCATTGAAACTCGTTGGCTTTCCATCCTGCGTATATATCTCGTATTTCTTGGTAATACTACACAATACACAATAACATATTATTTTCGTTCAGTTACTCAAACAGTTGCATATCATCAAGAAACAGTATATGATTTTTAAATGCGTATACATCAATAGGGACAGTTGGGTCCTGCTTATGTTCCAGCCTGATCTGGTACAGGACAAGGAGCCGGCACCAGTACATGAGCATAGCAATCGTTGGTGTCACAAGGCGGACGTTTTTGAACTTGCCAGTGTAGTCGAGCGTATAAAAAATAAGGTGTCGGTACAGCGTGAAACCAGTAGGCCCGTCGACAGCATTTTTCTGCTCTGTGATAAGCGCCCACATGATGTCACGCACCAATGTAACAATGTCATTGTTCTCTGGCTCGGCAGCGTTGTCCACCGCGTCGATCAAGCGTTGAAGAGAACCGGAGACAGAGGCAGGAATACACGAGAGCAACTCCGGGCAGTACTTTTCAGGATGTGACCTGAGGCGATAAAGCGATACAATCAGGCTGCATCCCACGCGGGCGTATCGGTTGACAGACTCATCTACAGTGAGTTGCTTGAAGCCAATTGACGGCGGTGCCACCAGCCCTCTAGATATAAAGTTTCACAGCAAAAGCGATATTGTTGTAAATAATCAATAAAGTATATCTCACAAAGAGAAATAAATATAAAAACAAGAACTCACTGTTCATTCATCAAAAGGCGACGAGCTGTGTAATCGGTCCGATTAATGGTGTACATGGCTTCCACAAAAACATGCTTCGTAGCACGAACAATGGCATTGACCGCGTTCTCCTCGTTACTCTGCTTACGAATACGCACCATTTCAAGGATGCTAGCACGGTTGGCATTTATATCCAAGCCAGTTGGGCTCCTTGTACGCGACCTTGTTCGCTCTTGCTCATCGTCAGTGTCGTAAGCATCGTCGCCCTGCAGTCCTTGATCGGGCTCGGCCTCGCCCTCCTCATCTTCATCTTCGTTCTAATTGGCATCCACCATGATATCCTGTAAGGCTTGGCTGTTTTCAGAAGACATGGGAGACGTCAAGGTGTCCACAAAGCTGTCCCACTTTGTATGCGAGAAAAACCAACTAATACTGCGTTGGCTGACTGGATTGCTTGTATGTTGACGGGCATTGTATGGCTTGTCCTCGTCCTTGATGGATTGGAGAGCAAGTTCAATAACGGGATTGACAGGCTCGTCGCTATTAGCGGGCTCCTCGGGAATAAGCGGCATACCACGAGTGTCGGGACGTGACAATGGCTGTTGCTGTTGCTGTTGCTGTTGTAGAGCGGTTGCCGCTATAAATAATTAAAGAGATGGTCAATGTACTGGTCACATGAAATTGAGGTTTTTCTCGAGTTTGTAAGCATTTGAAGAAAAAAAAAAAAGGAAAAGGCAAAGGTAAATAATCACTATGAAAAAAAAACGCTTACAATGAATTGCGCCATTGACATGGTTTACTATAGATCCTCCATTTCTGGTGGTATATACACAGTATAAACAATGGAAATGGCCGGTTTCCTTGTTGCGGATGATAGTCTCGCATTTACCTATTTTGGTGAGAAAATAATCAATAAGCATCATCACGAAGAACATGTGCCATTACATGGAAACACGTTTACAACAAATCTACTTACCTTTATCCGCGTAAAAGACCTCGGCCTGTGCTTGAAGAACGTTGCGATAGTATTTCCGATCCAATTTTTGTGGTCCAGCACTGTTTTCTGCGGGAGTCTGCGCAATAGCGGATGCAGGCTCATCAATCATGACAGGATTACGCGAGGAATTACCGGTATTTACGGCAGGACCAGTAGACAGACTCCTTTCTGGTGAATGCGACTCAGCATAGAAAGCACGATGAACGTTGCCTGCTTCAGCAGGAACCAGATGGCCGCCTGCCATGCGCAATACAGTATTAGAACCCGCGACTGACTCAGGACGAGCACGGGACCCAGTATTATCAGTAGGATAGGAATGAGGATCTGTAGCAGAAAGAGAACCAGCGGGCTGTTGACAAACACCGGCATCAGGACGAAAGCCATCTTGAGCAGACTGAGCACCGAATCTATTGGTAAAAAGTGCGCGCGATTGCTCAGGTAGCACCATACCGAAATCTGTGGTAGTTACAGCAGGACCGCTGATCATATTCGACTGTAGTGCAGGCATATCAGGAGCTGTTGGATACCCAATAAAAGAGGCATCGGTGACAAATGTGTTTTGCGCTTGAAACGTTGGTACCTGTCCGGAAGCCAAGGAAGCTGCAGGAACGTCAAAGTCACCATCGTTAAGTAGTGCGGTAAAGTCGTTGAGATCTTGATCAATAGGATAGTGAAAAAGGTTATAAGGGGTTTCATCCATGGTGACAAAGAAAATATAAGAAGGTAAATGTTGGAATAAGAGAAAACGATGAAAACAGTTGAACAGTGACTTTTTATATGGTCCTGAATTTTTAAAATTGTGATGCAACAGTTGTATGAGAGTAAGCATATCTGATTAGTACATGGTATAGAGCGATATAGCTACAGAGAGTGCACCAAAGGCGGGTGATATGAAGGACATGCTTGTATAGTAATCCAAGCAAAAATAAGAGTCTTATCTTTCATGCGACATTTTACAAATTTTGCATTGACAGAACTTGAAGAAATCAGATACAGCTAGTGTTTTAGGAGGGGCAGATGCCCTCGGGTCCACAAGTTTTGCATCGAGGAGGTGTTTGTAAAAAAAAACCCCAATAAGAGCATTATCTTTCATGCGACATTTTACAAATTTTGCATTGACAGAACTTGAAGAAATCAGATACAGCTAGTGTTTTAGGAGGGGCAGATGCCCTCGGGTCCACAAGTTTTGCATCGAGGAGGTGTTTGTAAAAAAAAACCCAGTAAGAGCCTTATCTTTCATGGGGCATATTACAAATTTTGCATTGACAGAACTTGAAGAAGTCAGATGCAGCTAGTGTTTTAGCAGGGGCAGATTCCTCGAGTGCACAAGTTTTGCATCGAGGAGGTGTTTGAACTTTGCAAAGGAAATGTTGGTATGGATAGAAAATTGTTATCGGGTCCCATGGGTTTTGCAATATAATTTCATCATAGCAGCTCAAAATTCCAGATTAGCAAGCTAATGCTAGTAGAGCAAGCAATTCACCTCGAGTCTCACGGCTTTTGTTTGAGGAGGTGTCTTAGGTTTGGCAAAGTGAGTGTTGTATCGATAGAAAATTAATGGCATCGGGGCCCATAGGTTTTGCAATGAAAATTTATCATGTCAGTTTAAAATTTTAAATTAGCAAAGCTAATGCTAGTAGAGCAAGCAATTGTCCTCGAGTCTCACGGCTTTTGTTCGAGGAGGTGTCTGAGGTTTGGCAAAGTGAGTAGTGGTATAGATAGAAGATTGGCTCTCATAGGTTTTACAATAGAATTTGATCACGGCAGATTGTGAAAACTAGTACTGATAGGCAAAGCCGATACCATCAGGTTTCTCACGATTATGTAAAGTCAGCAATTAAGGTTTTACTGGGGGGGGGCTGGGGGGTGTGGGGGTCGGGTCTAGATATGGCCAAAGGTGATAGAGCGATGTGCCAATTTGCTCCTCTGGGTTCGCTGCCTTTCTATCACCGCAAGCATGAACATACAGCGGCATTATTTAATGAAGATATGATACCAGCAGCTAGTTACTTGTCACACAACTCTGTATTTTCGCTTACAAGGATTCGTTTACAGTCGCATTTATGTCTGCTATGGAACTAGAAGAACTGCTACGAAAAGCACTATCATCACACGGTAAGTGAGCTTTATCATGTTTGTTAACAGAAAAACGGTCTATTACATAATGCATTTTATTACAGGATTCCTTGAAGTCACATCTACATTAAAGAAGATATGTAGTGAGTATGATTATGAGGCTACGTTCACACGTAAAACGCACGATACGCAGGTATAGTAAATGGCAATGTGGTTATTCAAATATTTGGTAAAGTAGATGGATGGTAACAACAGAGGTTTTTTTTAGGAAAGCTCTTTCTCATCAACAAGTACATTGAACAACGATCCACCTCTGCTACCACAAAGAAAAGTGTTTAAGAAAAGGAAGCAAAATAAAGGTATTTCACTGTAATGATAAAACTTGTTATCGCAGCTGCCTCGTTTATTGCTCGTTATCAATAACGGCAATGTATTGTGGTATAGGCAAACAAGACACCGTGCCAGAGTCACTCAAGGTCAAGAAGCCACTTGAAGCAACCACGTATATGGTATCTATTCTAGATCTTTTACGCGATGGTAAAGACATTCCCAAAGACTTTCACGAATGGATGGCGGTCGATTGTAATAGTCCCCCGAGTAATTATGGATATGATGGATCAGGACTACTTGCTGGTAATTTGTTGGTGTGGAAAGACTGGTACAAGATAGAAGAAACAGGTACTCTTTTATTAACTGTCTAGTCTATTGCAGACCTTCAGTCCATCGTTGATGCCAGTACTCCCATGGTCGACCTGATCACTGCTCGGATCAAAACAGTGCTGCTTGTCTTACAGCAAGACAAGGTGTTTTTGTCAACGACCAGCAGTAGCGGATACATTACGATTATGCAGAATGAAGGCAAAAAAATATCCTTTCCAACCAGCAGTAAATCAACAAAGAACAGCGTTTGGGTATTCGATTGTATGGCTACGATGGCATGCATCTTGCGCATTACCCGCACATTAAACATTGTTTATACACGGCATCTGTTCCAGCGAAGACACATTGTAAAAAAGGCGTATTATCACACGGACCCTTGTATGCTCAATAATCCAGCAAAGAAACGCTCCTGGCATAAGACGCACTATATGCTCATAGGCGCCCGGTATTATGTGCACCTTGTACGAGAGTTTGGTATTGCCATAGTTTGCTTGCCAACAATATTCAATCCACAAAACTTGAGCAAGGTAATATAAACGCTCTTAGCTTCTGACGCTTTTCATTTCACCTAAAAAACTAATTCGCATTTGCTCAATTTTTGTTTCATGCAGATACCAGAAAAAAGATTCGTGCACATTATCAACTCGATTGACAAAAAGTCGCTCAAGTACAAACTCGAGTCTTTGCTTGATCCTTTCCATCCCGTCATCCCGCTTATAATCAAGGAGATATTCTGCTTTGCACAACAAATAGGCGACGAGCTCGATTTGGATACACTACGACTACCACAGAATATTGAAGAGTTTATAATGTCAAGCGAATAAACAACTTTTCATGTGTTGGAATCTTTGAACTGGTTCTATGCCGGATTGTACGGTATAGCTCCATTGAACCTTTCCCAAATATGCTGGTCCTGATCCAATTCTGACAATCGTATTTTTGCCTTTCCATGCAACCCGTTTTGTCCTTGTAAACCTCGTATTCAACCCATAGTAATGCAACTGACAAACAATAATATCCTCGTGAAACTCAATACGACCTGTAGCGATCAGCCAATTACTATATAAAAGTCTCGTTTTACACCATGGTCGAAAATAAGACTTGCTTTTCACATTATCTTTTGATCTTCCCTTGAGCTTACTGTTGCCACCACCGTTTCGCGTATTTTCCTTGCACTGGCGTAGTATACAGCACAGTAGCGTACGACTACTGTTCTGAAGAAATTGTCGCAAGTTGTTTTCACTGATTACCCCTCCCTAATAACAAATACTGTCTACTGACGCATACCAAAATTGACATTTGAGAACTTTACACAGAAATGCTGAAAGTGACTTGCCAAAGCGTTTGTAAGAATGGGTTGTTGTCGCCATTACCGCTGTGTTCTTATTGTCTTGCACCAAAATCGAAAATTCCCTTTTTTTTAACAGTCCCCCTTACACTTTTTATTTATCAATTTCCAGGTTTTTTACTCGTCCTTCTTTGTCCTTCCTTGCTTCCTTGCCCTTCCTTATCCTTTTTCGATTCGAATGCGTAGTAGTGGCGTGTGGCAAAATCTACTATGTCAGTTGCTTGTTTTGGTACTATGATATTCTTGGTAAACTTGTGTAGGCGTGCCTTGAAAAGTTCCTTATCCACTGTCTCTAATACTTGCTGAAACACCTGTTCCGGCATCTAAAACGTGAAATGGTAAGCGCGTTTTAGACACACACACAAGAGGATACAAGCATACTGTGTACTTACAGCCTCCAACTTTGCTGGGTTAAAGGTAGTGGGCAGCAGAACTATACCGACTCCAAACTCGCGCACTATTCGGATATACCGGCGACTTCCTTGACATATTTTTGCTACAAGCTGTTGTGCGCTTGTTGCTGTTAGGTGCCGGAACACGCCTTCGTCAAAGTCCTTGCGCTTGCCCTTTTTGTTGTGATAGTAGTCATACCGGTAGTAGGCAATGTTGATTCGCTCAACCATCTGCATAAAGTCGACCATACTGTTGTTAATGCTCAACCGGCGTATGCGGAATGCACTGTCCCTTGCCTTGCTGAGAACGCTGCCTGAGCTTGTCAACTTGTCAACACGGTTGACATTGACCAGTTTTTGAAGCGGCTCAATCTCGACGTTTCCTGTGTTGCTCCTCAATGCTGCTGCAAAACTAAGCACGTCATCCAGGATCTTGGTGTCACCGTCAAAGTCTCGCTTGCAGATAGCATTGACCTCTATATGATCACTGATAAGTTAAAAAGACATTTTTCTTTGTTTTCTAAAAGTTGGCTTTTGTGCATGATTACCCGTCAAGAACTTTCCCCCACTTTTCCATGTATTCCGGAGTGCAACACCTGATGGCAAGGCTAATTGGGTATCAACATTGGCACTGGGGCCTTGCTCTGGTTCCGTCGCCCTTGGCATATGAGGACCATTATCCCGTATACGTGAGGGTTGCTGGGATCCTTCATTGTCGCTCTGAAATTCAACCCCATCGTTGGCACTTGCAGGCAGGCTTGTGACATTGGTCATTGCTTCAAAGCTATCTGGTGGATCATTGGCAGATGAAGAAGAGGCCAAAGGCGGAGCATAGGAACCATCCCATTCGTCGTCCTCACTGTCACCATTCGCGAGATTATTGTTTGTTGCTGCCGGTTGTGTATTGTCGTCAGAGTCACTGTTCAAATCGATATCCGAAAAATTAGGCTCTGGGCGCTTTGGATCACTGCGTTTGTCAACTTTGATGGCAAATTAGCACTGTAGGTCAACAGACACAAAGATATCACTGGTTTTAATAAATGTAAATAATTTGATTGTGCGAGACGTACTGCTTTGCCCCTGTTTACTGTTGCTTGCTTCACCACTTGCATGTTCATTGCTTCGCCTGTTGTGCGTTGTAGCTGGCCTCTTTTCAATTGACTGAGTCCCATTGTCTGTCAGCTTTCTTTTTCTCAATGTCAGTTTCAATTTAGACGCTCGTGCTTTGCCTGCTCGACGTTCTTTTTCCGAGTCTCTGACTGCCTGTCTCCCAAGCAAGGTGGCATCGTGATTAAAACTATCCTGTTGCAATCTTTCGAAAGGAGACTATACACAAGAAGAATGGTGCTCTCTATTCTTTAGTCTTTTCTAAGAGATAGATGAATAAAAAGTACATTGAGAGATAAATATTACCGTTATATGATGCTGTGTTGACCAGTCATTATCTTGTCTTCTGGCTTGAGCTGGCTGTGAAAAAAACAAAGTAAGAATGTATTCAAAGAGCTGCTGTTGAATAGCTTTTATAATACCAGGTCATTGCGTTTAATGACAGTGGCCACGTATCCAATATTGTCAAAAACCTCTTCGACTTCTCTAATAACATCAGCGTCATCTGCAATAATAATTAGTTTATCTGCACTTCATTGTTCATTCGTCTTTGTTCTTCTTGTCACTATGCGAAAGCTTACCACGGATGGCCAATGCCCGCTGTAATACACCATAAACGTCGTGTTCTTGGGACATGACAATGAATACAGAGATTTTAGATTAAAAAGACCTTGATAATGAAAAAATCATAACTGAAGCTGCTTTTTTTTATAGGGAAAGACCCTAGTCGGTGATGCTGTGTAGACTGCCATATAGGGCGTTCGATGACAGTGACCAAATTCTTCAATGACCAAATTCTTCAATGACCAAATTCTTCAATGACCAAATTCTTCAATGACCAAAAATTACCCTTTTTGTAAAGTGTTGTACAACGATGTGCCATTTTGACTTGTAAAAAAAGCATGGCTATCATCTTGCTCAATGAGATAAGTTCTTGTACAGTTTCATTAATGTGGTGCCATACTCGAGAAGATGCATCTTTATTTACGGTGTCTTTATGTACTCGACCCCACTTTAGCTAGAATTCATTACTACAAAATAGCACATAGTTGTTTGCTCATTGTAAAGTATCATCCGTCAGACTGTACCATTCAGTCAGTGTAGTTAATAGATAAAGTCATTGACTGATAAAAAGAGAATCTGATAGATAAAAGTATTGCATAGTCCAAGCTGCCAAGATTTTAACAAGATATAATAATAGTTTATTTTTTCGAATTAAAGAGTGAAAACTCGGAGGCTATAGTATAGTTTTTGTAGTTGCGGATGAGAGAAGAAGATGTCGTCGGTAAAAGGGAGAGGATTCAGGATTGTCAGGGAGTGGTAGTCTGCTTTCGTCATCTAAAATATATTTTGAGTTTAATACATGATGTGCGATAGCTTTTATCTAAAGTAAACAAAGATAAAGAAGTATATTACTCACTGTTCCCAGTTTCCAGGTGCTATACGTTGTTGGGTCGAATAGCAGCTCCATTCGCTGAGAAGCCTTGAGCAATTTGAAAAGGCGCTCTGCGCCTAGCTGTGTCTTTTTTAGCCCTCTCAGCAGATCCCTGGAAATGGGGGTTTTCATGTTAGGTAAGGCGCCTATGTGTACTTTTTGTGATTAGCTATATTTCAATAAAACAACC